AAAGCTATGAGAAGGACAGCAGAAGAACACACCAGTGGAACTGATTTGTTTTCCTTTCACACATACATGAGCTTTCATCTCCTTTTGAAGTTGAAACATCGATTTTGTTTCAATCGTTTTATCAGAGCAAGCACAGAAAGTGATGGGCCTCATTCTGTTTACAAAAAGGAAACTGCATTTGAATGTTTTCTGCTTGAAAGGATGCTTTAGGTTCAGCAGTTTAACCTGTAGAAACACTGGGTTAGTGTCTAAGATCTAACTATAACGAGGGCTGGATGAATAGATAAAGGGAAATAAGGTTTTGTTTTAGTGCCAGTTAGTAGCACAAAATCACATGTTCACCAAGGGTCAAACTTAGGGCCCCTCTTATATTTTATCTTTACCCTTCCTCTAACTCAGATGATTTTAACATACATTACAGTAGCATAGCTAATACACAGCTTTACCTTACATTTTTCTTACAAACCCATTCAAACACTGAGTTAGTACATAGAAGGACACAAGAATAAACTATGAAAATTTTACATAGCTTTAGTTACTTCACCTGAAAATCAATACAGACTGCTAACCCCTAAATCAGGGGTTTTCAACGTTTTCCAGGCCAAGGACCCCCAAACTGATGGTGAGATGGAGCGGGGACCCCCTAATTATATAAAGTATGAAATTGTGTTATATCAAACTGGTCCTATAGTCACTCTATTACAGATGGAGTCGTGTAACCAAAGTCATTTCTCCCTGGGATTATTAAAGTATTTCTGATTCTGATTCCTGGTTGATGGGACAGGTGTTGTGAATGAAACGGTGCCCAGCTTGAAAGAGCTCCTGTGTGTCGCTGAATGTGTGCATTGATGACTGAAAGACATCTTCTGCCTCGGACCTCCTATGGGTCACGGACCCCCTGTTGAAGATTTCCGCCCTAAATAGTTTTCATTTTTATTTCAGTCATGCCATTTGCTTTTTTTTAACATTGTTTCATGATTGGATTCACTTGTATGTTGTTAGCGAAAAGGACCACAAAGAAGACAAAACTTATCATTCTCCAAACACAAAAGAAAATATAAAAGAGGGTGTGATGCATAATTTACAATATAACTTCAAGCCACACTGGCAGGTTATGTTTTGACTAAACAAATTTTGAAAAATCAAAGTTACATTTATTTATTGTTGCATATCTTATAGAAGCGTATACGATACAGTTGTTCCCAATCACATTGGTTTTTGGTTTTTAAACAGATAAAAGGAAGAGGAGTTCTTTATTTTTAGGAGCAGTGCATTCCACAGTTTGACTCCAACCAGGGAGATACCCATCCACTCCTGGGTCATTCTGACAAAATTGAGAGTAAAGTTATGTTTTCCTCTACTGGATGAATTGGTTTTAACCAGAAGCATACTTTCTACAGTTTTAAGCAAAGAGAATATCTTGTTTTATACATTATGATGGATGTTTGTAATTTTATAAGATCTTGTAATCTTAATAGTTTTGATTTTATAAATAGTTGTTTTGTATGTTTTCTTCTATAAGTTTTGTTAATAATTCATATTTCTTTTATTGTATAGTTCAAATCAATTAAAGGTTGGATAGCAGTCGTGTACAGTATGTGTTTCCCCATACTTCTGGGCAATGAATAAAATAAGGCAGTATTATTGTGCAATAAAAGAGCCTAAAAACTATACAATTTTTTTTTTTTAAGTACTTTAGGGTGGCAATATTTTTACATAATTTCTTTATAATACCTCTACATGGGATTTCCACTTAAATTTTAGTCCAGGGTCACACTCAAAAATCTGAAATGAGACACTTTTTCTAAATTAGTCCATTTAAAGACAACTGGATATCCACATCTAATTTGCAATAACAAAAAAAAGATACATGATGTTTTAGCCACATTGAGTGATAATTTGTTTTCATCAAACCAATCGGATGAATCTGCTGATGAAATCTATATATATTTATCTTATAGTTATAGTTATTATATAGTCTATAATCCCAAAATAATCCCAGGCATTATTTTGACAAAATGATGCGCGAGTTGAAACTTGCTCGTGTCTAAACTGCCTCCCTATCGCCCCCCTCAGGTAAAAAAAAAAGATGTACTGCATCGGATTTTTGCTATTGGCTTCCAGGGAGATGTGACCTCACCTGGGAAAAACTGTCTGCATATCTGTGTAATTGGGAATTATGTGAATTCAATAAGTAGGAGAATATGGACTCATCAGATTTTGCTATAACTCATATTACACACTTGGCTGCATTTTAAAATCAGATTTTAAAAAATCTCTATGAATGTGGTAAATATTGACATTAGCATATCCTCCACTCAAATTTTTGTGTACTTTGTTGATTAGCATATGATCTGTCTAGTTATGAAAACACAAAAATCCACTGAGTTTCCCTCCCAAATCACTTTGCTCCTTCTTTGAATATGTGCTCTGTGTGTGCAAAGAAATTTGCAGGTGTTTTAAAACTCGCAAATCTTTTGAACAGAGCCTTAATTTCTCTGATCATTCCTTATGAGTTGATGATTGGCTTCCCCTTATGGTCTAGAACACCTGTTTGATGTGGAGCTAGTTCGTAGCTTTTCTTTATTTTCAATTTTATTTCATTTCTTTTGTAACATGTTGCATTTTTTTGTTCCTTTTGTTTTGTGCGTTAGCCTCAGTTATATGTTCGCAGCATGTTTTCACTTCTTTTTTTTTGTGTGTTTGTTGCATCTAGAGACCAGCTGTAGATGGAGGATGCAGCAGACTCTGGGGTAATAAGGCAAATTAGTAAACCTCCCTGTAAGACTCTCTTTAGTTTTGACCCAGTATACACTGAGTAAGGTGTTTTCTTTTAATAATCTTCACATTGGCAGTGCTTTTAAGATTTTTATGTGAGCTTTTATTCAATTAATTCTAATGTATCCCTCATGGATGTTGTGTTGGTTCTTGATGGTTCATCTGTTTTTTTCAATGCCTGCTGTTTATGGTACCTTTTTAAATCAAATTGGCTCAACTTCTTTACATTAACAACCCTGACAGAACAAAAAAGGAGCTTCATTTATCATGCAGGAAATAAACACTGAGACTGAAACACGCAGATATGCCATGAAGATGTGTTTCCCACTGATAATTACTGTTATAAAATGAAATACAACAGGAGCAATAAAATGTTAATGAAGCTGTTGGTGGGATTCAGCCGGGTATTAAAGATCATCACAGGAAGGAAGGAAGGAAGGAAGGAAGGAAGGAAGGAAGGAAGGAAGGAAGGAAGGAAGGAAGGAAGGAAGGAAGGAAGGAAGGAAGGAAGGAAGGAAGGAAGGAAGGAAGGAAGGAAGGAAGGAAGGAAGGAAGGAAGGAAGGAAGGAAGGAAGGAAGGAAGGAAGGAATCAGGTAGTTAATAGAAATCAAAAAAAGTAAAACTTGAAGATCAGTCTATAAAAGCAACACAGATGGCATTTCGTATAAAAAAGAAAAACCAACTAAATATTTTGGTTTCTTCAAAACAAATGCTCAATCGACCTATTCCACATGACTTTGCAGGGTAACATTTCTGGACTATTAAAATAGACTAAAGTACCCAGATAGAACCCATCCCTACAAACTCGATGCAGAAAAACCAAAGCCATGGATTCAAAGCCTGGAACTTCTTGCTGCAAAGCTGCGTTGTTACTATTTCCTGCAATATTTTAACCCAAAATATTTCCATCACATCCATTTAATCTCAACTGAACAATTAAAATCCCCCCAAAAAAGGAACAAAAACAGTTTATTTATAGCTGAGAAGTGATGGCCTACCCCTGATATCTGGTGTTAGAGTGGCACAGCTACAGTCAGTGATAGCATATCTGAGCATTCTAGCCAATTTTTCAGACTGAATTTTAAAACAAACTGAATTGAACATTACAAACAGACTCACATTTTCTTCAAGCGCCCTCTGATACATGTCAGTTTTAATGGTGGATAATTATATGATATTAAGGTGGTCAGGTCCTCCTGCAGCAAAGCATCCCCAAACCATGACACTTCAACCTCTGTGTTTTACCTTTAGTATGAACTTCTTTTTTACAGAAACACTATAACTTTCCTCTTTTCTAGTGTCCAATAAATATAATGTTGTTCTAATGGGTCCAAAGAACATTATTCTGGAGGTCGTGGTCATTGTTAACATTCTCCCTTGGAATTTTACTAATTATGCAAAGTTTTCTTCCAACACATTGTTTTAACAGCAGCCAAGTTAAATACTGCATATGAATCTTTCACTACCACAATTATGATTTCTATCTAGAAAATCCAAAAACAAACTTCTGAGTACCAAAGAATACAAAATAGTTTCACCAGAGAAGCCATGCTGATTGCACATGGAAAGTTAATTTGAGGCTGATGTTCCTCTGCACAACAATTATTACAGAAGTAAAATGTAAGAGGACATTTTAAAACAAAATTACAGGACATGTTTGCTTTAACTATTATAAAAAGTTTAATTCAAAGGAAAATTAGATTTTTTTTTTGGTTACATTTAAAGAGAAATTAGAATCTGAAAGTCTGAGCTTTTCAAAATTCGTAAATTGAAACTGGCGAAGAAAATTGCAATCGATGCATCTTTAAAACCCCACAAAGCTGTAGGGAACAGTTGGTTAACCAGTCTGAGCTGCACAGCAACACATACACACACACACACACACACACACACACACACACACACACACACACACACACACACACACACACACACACACACACACGTTGGAGCAAGTTTCAGTTTCCAGGCGAACCGATAACAGCAGTGAGATGTTTAGTATTCAGAGAGGAGGGATGAACCCAGACGATAGTTGGCTCTAGAAACAAAGCAGCCTCTCAGTGACTCTCAGCTGAGGCTCTCACCCCGTTTGTGTGTTTGAAACAGTTGTTCATGCATGAACCCTCTGATCCTCACCACTTCCCATCCAGCAGACCAGGTTTGTGTGTGAATGCGTGATTCTTGGACACACAAGTTAAACATGCAGCCCAGTTTTACTCACCCAACTCAAACTCATGGGGTTATGTTGGTTCACCTGCCCTGAAACAGAGAAGTAAATCTAATTAGTACAGAAAACAAGCTATTTGTTTTTCTGATTTACTAAATAAATGTTTGTCTACTCCACATCCATGCACAACACTCTGAAAACTGAACATTTTCAGTTAAGCTGCAGGGCAACATGCATTTCACCTGAAGGTGCTTCTGCACAGCATCCTTTCATCGTCAAATTAAATCTGTTGCAACACAGACAAACAGATCAATAAAGAATTTGTTTGGGTTTTTATCTCTACAGCAGCTATGGAAACTCATTAAAGGTTTCACAAGCCAATATTTTTACAGATAACTTAATTGTATGTTGGATTTAGTAGCAGTTAACGCAGCCTACAGAGAGGTGGGCAGGGAAAATTTAATTTTCTCCTTTGGCTTTATCAGCAGAGACCTCTTTCATCCCTTTAAACGTCAAAACATAATTTATTGAAGTTAAAATATATATATATATTTTTCTATTTGGTGCCAATGTTTATGCTGAATAAAACCCAGTTTACAGCCTCTGTGAGGGTGAGTTAGATGTAAAGAATGGGAGCGTGCAGCCTCAGAAAGCGTGGGAATTCAAACGTCTCGCTGGGCCTCAGTAGCTGATGAGATCCCGCTTTGCCAAGGCTCGTCATTCAGCTCTTTGTCTGTCCTGGTCTCTGCTCACTGAGACGTGCTTGAAATAACAACAAGCCTCTACCTTTTACAAGACAGGACTGTTAAGATTGGATTATTGATCAGGGTTTTTTTTTTTTTAGAGCTTAGCATTATCTGAAATCTGCCAACTCTGATGCAATTATTAGCATCTAACAAGTATCCTTAACCCTGACACAACAGCCGTGGATAATGCACAAGCTGGGAAATCTCTTTTCAGGAGCTGGAATTGCATCTGCAATGTGGTCGAAAGATTAACGAGAAAGCTCTGACCTCAGAAATGACTAGAAAGTTGATATAGTAGTGAGGCTGCAGAGAAGAAGCCGATATCCCCTCCCTGAAGCCAAGCTTTACACATCAGACCAAAAGGTCTCCTCACCCACAGAATAACACTAGTAGAGGTTTTCCACCCTGACTTTCACTGATAGAAACATGGAAACCATCATCAACTGGTCTGAATTACAAAAAAGAACAAAAAACATCTAAAATTACAGAAACTAATATGATGAACTGCCCTCATGTCTTCAGCGCAGGAGAAGCTCGTGAAGCGTCAGGCTTTCCGTCACTTTATTATCAAACTCATAGTCATACCTGATGAAAGCCCTTAAACATAAAGATACCACCTTCTTCCTTTATTTCACTGGTTTCCTAAAATCTCCCCACTAATTTTTCACTTAATGTGGCATCTTATTTGTCAAAAGTTCTCCTCAATCTTCACTGTCCCTGCTTCATCCACCATCACCCACCATTTCCACCTCCCTTTTTCTGTGCTGCCTCTCAGCTACAAAAAAAATCGCCCCCACAGACTAAGACGTTATTCCAAACAGGCTTAAAAACCTTTCATATACTCACTGCTTTTTAAAACTATCTCTTCTTAATTGCTTTTTCTAGTCTTATTTTTATTTTCCTTTGTATTTATTGCGCCCAGTACTGCTTATTCTGTATTTTAAAGTTCTGCTATAAGGCTTTTCTAAGATTTGAAAGTCAACTTTAGTTATATGTTTGGTGAAATAATGCCTTTAGCACTTCAGAGTATTAATTTGTTAATCAAGCCCCCTCTTTCCTACGGGGTGCTGCACATTTCATGACATAACATGCCACTTCTGAAGGCTGAACAAAGCCCCCCTGACTGGAAAAAGTGGGTGTTTATTTACAGTGCAGGTGCAGCACAGTCAAGGTAGGTGCTTCATGGGGAAGGCACTTCTTGGTAGATATTTCCCATCTGCTCATTTTCACAGGGCAGAGATGGGGCTGCTGCTTAGACAGCCGGCCAATTAGGAGTGGTAATTTATCATATTGTTTGGTAATGTGACAAATTGCTATTAATGTAGATCTAATGCAAATAGCGATGATAAAAAAAAACAAAAAAAATGGTGAGTTGCAAATTTAATTTTTAATATTTTTTCTTTAATTTTATCAGTTGGGGCATTGGCCAATTTGAAGGATATGATAAATGTGACTACTATGTAATATTTAGTGATATCAGCTATACATCTTAATTTAATTAAAATCCTCCTTCTCACATATAAAGCCTTAAATGGCCCAGCACCATCTTACATCAGAGATCTGATTGTTCCTTATGTTCCTAACAGAGCACTTTGTTCTCAATCTGCAGGTTTACTAGTGGTTCCTAGAATTTCTAAAAATAGAATGGGAGGCAGATCTTTTAGTTATCAGGCTCCTCTCCTGTGGAACCAACTACCAGTTTTAGTCCGTGAGGCAGACACCCTGTCTACTTTTAAGGCTAGACTTAAAACTTTCCTTTTTGATAAAGCTTATAGTTAGAGTTGCTCAGGTTATCCTGAGCTATCTCTATAGTTATGCTGCTATAGGCTTAGACTGCTGGAGGACATAGGGACCCTTTTCATTATTCTGTTTCATTCTACCTCTATTCTCCTACTCTGCAGAATGTGTTAGTTTAATCTCTAACGTTATGCTCTCTCTGCGTTTTCTCATAGCAGCTTCGCCTCATCTGTTCCTGTTTGGCTGTGACAACATCCTGGAGAGGAACATCAGCTGTGAGGCTGCCATCAACACCTTTGTTTATAGATGCTGGAGATCGGCCTGTTTTTCAATGTAGTCCTGTTTCTCTGACTGTGACTAACTGGATGTGCTTTTCGTCCTCTGATGTGGGGGCTGGCTTGGAAATTGTCTGCCTGGCTGTGTGTTTTCTGGATGGGGACGCCTGTGGGGCTGATTTACAGTTGCTTTTTGTATCTATATCTTTCTCTATGTCTGCTCCTGTCTCCTTGAACCCCAGTCTGTAAAACGGGAATGTTTTCCTCTCCACAGTCGCTAAAAGCATCCTTAGTGTGAGGGATTGCCTTCAAGTCAATGAGTCGATGCAATCAACTGGTTTTCCTTAGATAGAAAACTTTGAATCGATTTTACTGGATGATCTGGTCGAACTGTAAAGTGCCTTGAGATGACGTGTGTTGTGAATTAGCACTATATAATTAAACTGAATTGAAATTGGTACATTTTTTTCCAAGAGTAGTGTTTGTGATTGTGGGGGAAACGAATGCTAGTTACCAGTTAACTTCAAAGAATTAATGAAGATTGTTTTTAACTGTTGCTTTTATCGTTATCAGGATAGAACCCACTACCAACCCTACTGTGATTAATATCACAGGGTCCAATAACTGATCTCCAAAGACTTTTAAAGCCAAATTAGCCAATTAGCTTTAAAACTGCTTTATATAAACCAAGAAGCCAAAAGTCTGAGGATGTTTGGCCTGAAGCAGCTTTAATATCTTCATGAAATAAAATGCAGTCATAAAAGAGCATTGGGCAAACTGGGGACCAGTTGATTGAAAAATCATCCCTTTTCTTCATCATTAACGCCTCCAACATGTAGAGGTCTTTCGTTTACCAATGGAAGACAAAGAGTCTCTCTTGTAAGAACCTTGTTTTGTGTAAACCTCTGTTCCCCCAGGTGTGTTGGTGTTTGTAAGAAATTATTCTGCTGATTATAATCCCCACCATTACTCATGTTTGAACTCCTCTGGGTAGTTGGGAGCAAACACTGAAAATATCTGGCTGTTTCCCAAACTGCATCAATGCCCTGTCCTGTTGACAGACTGTGGAAAGCAGCCAAAAGCAAAAACCACCAACATAAGGTGGAATAAAACGGGCTGCAAAGGAGCGTCTGAACAATTAGAAAGCGGCAGATGTTTCAAAGTATTAGGATAAAGATTTAGATATGAATGTGTTCATTGGATCTCCTTCTGAATTTCTCTGTTATGATTTACAAACTAATGTTATTTTCAATGTGTTAAAAATACACACACACACACACACACACACGCACACAAAAGTAGCAATAAAATTTTATATTCTGCAATAAAAGCAGAGGAAGACAAGATGCAATGATAAAAGAACAAATAATCTACTGCAAATTGTCAGTATTGTGTTTTGTATCTTAATGATGTTCGTCTAGAAAAGCAGACAGAGTAAAACCCCAGATTCTTATATAATAGTCATACTTCTAGGACTTTTAGTTATTCAGACATATTATGGAGAACACAGAAAAATGTGACTGTTTCATACGGATGATGGACAAAATTCCAAACACAGCAGGAATTTTGCTGAGTCAGTAGCTTTAGAGACCCTGTTAAAATACCTGCATCATTGTGCCTTCATGCATTATATGCTACACCAACACATTTATGGAGGGGACTAATGCCAAAAATAAATACATAAAAAAAAAAAAAATGCTTAATAAATGAATAAACAGAAAATCAAATCCTTAAAAAAACCGATACACCAAATATATAAATGTAAGTAAATAAATCATAAAATGTGATATAAATATACATCTCTTTTAAATAGCTTAGTTCTTTATATATTATTAATATTATTTATTATTGAGAATTTTTTATAGAGTGAATTTTCTTCCATTATTGTTGCAAACAAATTAATACATTTTGCTATATGAAATTTGAGAAATCATAATTTGTATTTTTACCAGATTTAGTATTTTATTTTTGGTTTTGTTTTTTAAAGTTTTCTTATATATTTTATATTTACAAAATTTTGTTTTAAAAATGAAAATTTTAACTTCCGATAGAAATGTGTCTTTTCTACTGGCTTCAGAGGATAGCCCGCCCCCAGAAATGAAGAGAGTTTGATCCGTAAGAGGCAATTTGACAAGAATGAAATTAATGAATATCAATATAAAAAAGAATTAAATTTTTTTTTTTTTATCTAAAATTTTCAAAGGAATATAAAAAATTTAAATGAAACAACAAAACTGAAAATACACATTTGTTAAAACATCTTGGGAAATATTTTAAAAAATAAAATTTGATTAGATAAAATAAAATATAAAAAATAGATGCTGTTTTCCCCAA